GGGGGGGGGGTGGTGATGTGAGAATGTGAATGTGGAGATGTATTGTGGAAGTTGCAGTTGGAGACCTAACCCCAGCTGGGTGGTCCGTCCTTGTGATGAAGATAAAGGTCTCTCCCATGTGTGTCCAACCCCGGATCAAAACATACACGCACACACACACACACACAGAGAGAGAGAGAGAGAGAGAGAGAGAGAGAGAGATTCTAACCTGTAACCGTCCACACGTCCTCCATCTCCCACCGTTGCCCATCTCTCAGCCCTGAATCGGGTCTGTTGCATCCATGCGTCTCTATCTCTCGCTTTCCCTCTTTTTTCTTTCTCTACACCCTAGCCAGGCCACCAGGATCTAGCTGCTTCAGACTCCGACCTGCAAGAAGATTGGAGAAACTACCAACCAAAAGGTCTCGGGCCTGGAGGGTTCTTGAATCTTCCTTCCCCCAATCGTCTGTGTCCGCTCGCCGTCACTCTTGCACGAAAGGACGATGATGATGGTGGTGGTGGTGGTGGTGGTGTTGGGTGACCACAATCTTCCTATTCGTCTCAGTCCTCCCCCTCCTACCTATTCCCCTCCCCGCGCTCTCCCCTCACAATGCCCTTTGTTGCTGTGTTTCTTCGCTGCTACCGCGAGAGAGGTGCTTTCACCGCTGCCATGTGGAGAGAGAGAGAGAGAGAGGGGTGCTTCTCGGACTGCTGCAAGTAGTTAGCGGGGCTGTCCGGGATATGCAACCCCCCCGCCCCTCCCCATTGTTAGTTAGTTTACCGCTACCGTGTGCCATCCATCCCTTCGGAGCTTTCCTGGCTCTTCTCACCATGCCACTGGACACGGCACTACCATGTATGGATAAAGAGCTTGCTGTATCTGGCACAGGCAGCGCGAGTCGCATGCCGGATCGATCCAAACAGCCATGTCCATGCCATATCGTGCAGGTGCAGGTCCAGTCGTTGTCGTGTCTTTGTCAGTCGGCGAGATACTCGCTCTCTCTCCCCTCCAAACCCTCGAAACCGCCCAGCTGACTAACTGCATTCTACTCAGACTTTGCCCCCCCCCACCCACCAGCCGAGCATCATCCCCTTGCCTCCTCTCTTCACCGACTCACCGCCTTTGATGTCGGTTGTTGCCTCGTGATAACTCCAAGCGTTGCCTCTTGTTCCGGTCTCCCAGCCATCCCGCCTATTCGGCATCGCCGCTCGTTGATTCCATGTGCTCCCACCGGCGCACGCCCGGACTGTGGCTTGTTTTCTCCTTCTGGCGTCCATGGTGTTTTCTTTGACGGATCTGTCTATCCGTATCTGTCTGTCCGTATGCCTGTCTGCCTTAGGAAACCTATGCTTCTACGCGTTCAGTGCTGCATCGGGACCTCTCCCTCACACACACCCCTTTCCCCCACTCTCCCTCTCTCTCCATTGGCCGCAAACTCTACTCTCTGACTTGCACCAACGTACTTACACTGCCACTGCCACTGCCACTTCCTTCCACCGCCCCCTCTGCTCGGTGATGCTTTCGGTTATTCGGAAGAAAATCAACACAGAAACGACTTCTTCGCATATACCTGCATGCCCCCTAAAAAACGGTCTACCTCTTTCGGTGACCAGCGATCAACCCCAAAACCCACCGCAATTCAATGCCGTCCTGATGTCCGGGGGAGTAAAGGGAGGGAGGCATCAGAGGGCTGTGCTGTGCAACTCGAACAGGGCAGTCGAGCCGAGTCGACAGAGCTTATTCCAGACCCAGGCGCCCAATAAAGACGCTTTCCTTCGCCCTGGATGCTCGATTCGATACTCCGTAAACTACATCGTATGCGCTGTTAATCGACCGCCAGTCTGATCTGAACAGTTAGCTCCCCCCCCCCTACGCCGCTGGCTTAGCGCCGATCCCATCACGCGCACAGCAGGCCTAGCAGGCATAGCAGGTTCCAACAGGCGGCCTCCAGGCTTTCCTACCTTGGGCTTATCCTGGCTTTCGCACTCGTCCTGGGGGGGGTCCTTTTTACCAGTATGTTGCCCGTCACACACCCTCTTCCCCCCCTGCTCTTTCACTGCGTGGCATCAACGCTTTTCTCCACGATTGACCTGGTCCTTTGTGGCAGGCAGATGCGCGCGCCCGTGTGCCTAGGTACTACGGATACATGGTACTGTACGGATATATAGTAGGTGGACAGAAATTCCCGCGGCATCTACCGTTTTTTCTGGATGTATGTGGGACACAAAAAACACTCTTCCAAGGATATCCATCCCCCACCGTAGCATGACAGCTGCAATGACAGATTTCATTTCATATCCGTATCGACTAGCTCGCGTGAGACCGAGAGAGAGAGAGAGAGTGTGTGTGTGAGTGAGTGTGTGAGTGAGTTCTCGAGAGGAGGATGGATATACCAAATAGTCAGAAACAGGCAGGTCCTGGCAGAACCAGCCCCCCCCTACTCCAACCCCTTTCACACTCACCTTAAGACGGACACGAATCTTCACCTCTCTCTCTCTCACTCTGCCTTGACCGACACACACGGCACGCGTTTTCCAGCCAGATCAGGGACCCGGGGATGTCTTCACTGCTGGTTGATTCTCGACACTGGCGACTGTACTACATCCCCAGCTGCGCTGGCCTAGACTCGCTTGTCGTCCTCTCTTTGCCTAATTTTAGTCCATTTTTGCCCTCTCTTCTTCTCTTACCACCTACTAGAAACGGCAGAGGAAGTGGGCGCCGCAGAAACGCCTGCAGGCGCACCCCGGCTTTTCTTTCATGTCCAAATGGCGAGGATGAGAAAAGGGGAGAGAAGACAGTTCACTATTGGAACTACTACTACTACTACTACTACTACTACTTCCCAGTATTGTTACTTCGGAAGACCCTTGAAGAAGAAACTCTTGGTTGCTTTGCGCCACTGGCCACAGCTCTTGTCCTCTAGCTCGTCGGTCAATGCCGAATACCGTGTGCTCGTCGTCATCTTCGTCGTCGTCGTCGTCCTTCTCGCATGAGCATGGCATCTATTGCAATTCGAGTTCCAGACCAGTCTCCAAGCAAAACCGGCACCCAACACCCAAGCGCAGACACGCGGGCACATGCGCACACACACACACGCGCGTGCATCCCCCCCCCAATTCCCCCATCCATCCTACCCCCCATCCATTGTGTCCGCCCTCGAATCCAGTCAAAAAGAAACGAAAAAAAGCGAAAAAAAAAGTCTAAATCCTTCGCCCCCCTGTGTTTCTTCGGTGGCGCGCACACTGGCGGTGCCATTTATCCGATATACCCCCCCCCCCCCCCCCCAGATGAATGGAATGGCGGCATTGTGCACCGGCGGGATCCCTTCCATCTGCCCAACTGCTCATCCCATTTTCCCTCAGGCTCTCTCTTTCATCTCGCCGGCTTCTTCCTGACCTCTTGTTGTATAAACACCTGTGCTGTTGCGCTTTTTGTTTCTTCTTCCTGCTTTCTGTTACCGCCAAATCCTCCGCCTCCCCAGATGGCAACACAACCTCGTCCACTTGTCAGTTGAATGACGTCGCTAGTCAATGGGCCGACTCCGCTGCCGCTGCAAGCTGCACTGCTGCGCCTCACTCGAAGCTCGAATCGAAACCCCAACTTTCTGTGGTGCTTTGATGCCGTTTGGCTTTTCGGACTAAAATCCCGCCCTCCCACCTTTTCACTGCTCCTGTAATAGTCAGCGCTGCCCGTTGCTGCCACCCATCCAACTGCTGCTGTCTGTCCGCCCATTTGTCGTCTGTTGTTTGGCCGCCAGCCTGTCCCAAACAGCAGCAGCAGCAGCAGCAGCAGCAGCAACTGCAGCAGCAACTGCAGCAGTCTCTCCACCCTGCCTGCCTGCCCTCTCCCCCCCCTTTGTGCGACACTCACCCAGTGCATTCCACAGATTACATGTGCAGTGCAATTTCTCTCGTTCATTGCACACGCCACTTGCAATACCAGCTATGCCTGTCGGATTGCTCACTATCCCGAGGGAGATTCGCGACCTCATACTCGATGAGGTCGTCTTCCTACCCGATCGCCCACCCCCGCTTAACCCCTCAGTCAGCCAGGACCGTAAGAGGCGCGAGTACAAGGGCAAAGGCTTCTCTGATGGCCACGACATTTGGGTAGAGAAGCAGATCCGCGCACCGCCGTCGGGCTCCCCCAACAACGCCATTCTCCTCGTCAATCGCCAATTGCACGACGAGGCCAAGATGCTGCTCGCCTCAAAGGGAACCCACTGTCGTCTCGATGTCATGTATGTTAAAGAATGTGGCTTGTGGCCGACTTGGCTCGCCGTGCCAAGATCCACCCGTCATGCCGACAGCGTCCACGTCCAGTTCCGCATCTTCGATCCACCCGCCGACGTCAATCCTGACTGGAAAAACGAGGAACAGTTTCGCGGCGGCGACGGCGGCCCGCCATTCATTGTCTGGAACTTTTACGCCATGCTCTCAGGGTACCTCCAATACGGACCGACCGCCTTCAGCAGTGTCGTCGCCGACTCGTCAAACTTCACCATCAAGAGGCTGGTGCTAGACGTTGTTCCGCCCCCGCCCGAGGAGAAGCACGACCGTCTCGTGTCCGGCGGTGCGCGGCGGCCACCTGCGCATGACATGTTTGAAAGATTTACCACCATGGTCATGGATGCAGAGAAACGTGAGCGCCGAGGCATTACTTGGCCCCGTCCGCCCGAAGGCAAGGAGAGTCTCATACCAGCCGAGAAGCTTGCTTTCTTCATGTGCTGTCAGATTGGCGGTCTCTTGTCCATGTACAGAGACTGGGCCGACTTCGGCGCCATCCTGTACGAAGGAATCGGGAGCATCGAGATCCGCGTAAACGGCGAGCCGCGACGCTACTTTGACCTGGACGAGATGCTCGACAGGTTGCCCATACAGCCGATCGCGGCCTGGAACGAAAAAGAACAGCAAAAGAGACAAAAACGCTTCGACGACTGGAAGGCGCAGGCGATTGCAACGAGAAAAAGCTGGAAAAAATGATGACAAGGAAACCCGGATAATGACATGACATGAATGGCTTTTCCCCTCTTCTTTTATTCTTGAGTTTGGCTCGGCCACACTGGCCAACAGAGGGAGGGTCCCCTCTTTTTGCATTGGGCGGCGATACCACCGGATAGATGGGTTTTTCTTTGAAGGGGGTTTCTTTCCATCGGAGCATGGTGTATGGGGGTAATAATGCATGGTGCGGTACAACCAACTCGGATGTGGTCGGTCGGTCTCGGGGCCGGGAATACTCGGTAGGGTCCCCGGGCCGGACCCGGTTTCGGGAATAATCACCCCCCCCTTTTTCTTTCCCCCCTCTCTGTGTCCTTCAACGAGATAGGCCCTCCACCGCGGCCCGGAGCCGGGCAATATCAGAATGGCTTGCTTTGCAGCATCCGCCCACAACAATCTGGTTCCACAATCCTCGAGACTGGGCGCCAGCAACAACCTGGGAGAGTTGGGCCTCCCACGACGTGACAGGGTGATGTGATCCTCCAGGAAGTTCCCATTTCTGAGTGGCCGTGTTGTAGACTTCACCATTAGTGCCATCCGGGTAGAGGACGAGGGCCGGGGCCTCGGCGATGGCACCCTCCTGGATGAGTTCCTGGACGGCCGATTCGTAGCTCTTGATCAGGGACTCGAGTTTCCATACCTTGGTGCAGTTGATGCCGATGCCCCAGGGCCGGCTCATGGCGACGTCAGGGCCCAGCATGGCCGTCACGGCCTCCTTGACAGAGGAGCCGTCGGGCAGACAGTTGTCCTGACGCGGGAAGAGGGTGGCGATCCAGAAGGGGAGGGGATTCTCGGTAGCAAAGAGGCCGATTCTGTCGAGGGCTTGCCTCACAGCCTTGATTTCGTCGGAGCGGGGGATGGTCTCAACTGCAACATAAGCGACGGGGGAGGAAAAAGCACCGGCGTCTTTGAACAGCTGCAGACGCTCCAGATGCCAGTCACGCAGCTTCTCGAGCGAGTCGTGGTCGGAGTCATAGGCGCCGCTATACTCTTGTCCTGGAATCATACAGGCGCCATAGGGACCGATGCTGAGAGCCGTCTTGGTACCGTGCGCACGTCCGGCTTCATGGGCAATGCGGATGGCGTCCTGGATAAAGTTGCGGATGGCGGCGCAGTCGATACCATTGGGATACTTGGCAGTGCGGGTGTTGGCGAAGCCGTCGATAGACAATTGGTAAGTGGCAGTAAGGATAATGTCGACCGGCACATTGCCGAAATCTTTCTGACAGGCAAGCAAGGTATCCTGGCCGTCAACAAGGAGGTGAGTTGACCAGAGAGGGGTGGTGGCGGACTCGAACCCGATACCATATTTATCCTCGAGCGAGGTGCCGAGGCCTCCATCGAGAACTAGGATCCTGGGGCTTTGCTTCTCGGCGTCGTCCATTTTTGTTAATTGGAGTAGGTAGGAATACTGAAACCCTTAGGAATGGGAAGAACCGAGGGAGCTACGCAAGGTTCGAACCGGGCGATAGGTACGTCCGACAAACAACAGATTTTCCCAAATCAAAATGGAATTTTGAATTCCGGCAGGACGAGTTGTCGTGGCTTGAACGAAGCCGAGTGGGAGAGAGAGAGCGAGAGAGGGAGGGAGGAAGGGACGGACACAAGGGCCACTATGATGGGATGGATCGAGAGACAGACGCGCGGCGGTTGAAAGTCTTGGGAAGGGGGGGAGAGGAAAGTCTTGGATCTTTGACGGGTCTTGGAAGGAGAATTGGTCTTGGGGAATTGTTTTTGGGGGGGGAGGGGCTGAAGAAGGGAGGGGGGGGGGGGGGAAGGAGCGGAGGGAGAAGCGAGGCCAGACAGAACAACCAGCAAGCAGTTTGGCAGCAGTTTGGCGGCAGCAGCAGCAGCAGCAGCAGCAGCAGCAGTACATGGAAGAGCAGCAACTGCGCAGCATAGCGCAACCAGTGAACTGGAGAGCCTGGAAGGGGTTCCACACTAGTGGAAAATTTTGGGAAAGCATTACGACGACTTGGTGATGACTAAGGAAAACACCACCTTTTTTCACCTTCTGCCAAGAAACCAACGGCAGCATCTTTCCGCTTGTCTGCGTCAATGCACCTTCCTCGTCTCCAAGCCCCTCTCTTTTCCTTTCTTCCTTCCTTCCACTCAGGCGTCCGTCCTATGATGCCAAGAAACACATCGGACCGGAAAGAGGACGGGCGGTGCCATAGGTAAGTACCTAGACAAGCTAGGTAGTCACGAGGCAAGATGGAACGAGGCGAGGCCACCTTCGACTCGATTCCAGGAGAGAGAAGGAAAGCATGGACTCGGTGAGACCTGCCTACCTGCCTTCCTGCCGCTGTGTCCGTATCGAGGACATTAATCGTATGGCGAAGGAGAGAGAGGCACTCCGTAAAGAGTGTGCCTTCTTCCTAAGCGGGCCTGCCGATGCCAAGACGGAATGCGACATGCTCGGATGAGGAGACCCGGGGGCCTCAATTCCACCCGACATGACAAAGATGGACAGATAAGTACACTATTTCAGCTTTGATAGTGGCTGAGAGGGCGATATAGATACCATGTACGGATACAATAGGCTGGCTCTATGCAATAGCGCGGCGCGTCTGGGTCAAGCTTCTGTCATCTCACATCGACTATGGGGCACCATCGTGTATGTATATGTACCTTCCTTGCACTAGAAGGTATGATAAGCAAGTACAACTCGACGCCCTTTCCTCGGCGCTGGAAGGGGGCACCTTCCCTCATCGGATTTCTCAAAGCTCGAGGAAGTTGTTGTTCCCAGTAAGCTCTGACGGTTGGTTGGCTTTCCTTAGCTCCCGCTTCTGTCGTGTCCGGCAGGGATTCTCTGTGTCCTTTCCTCCATTGTCACTTTCCGAGCGGAAGGCTGCTTTGTTGGGGGGGGGGGGGGGGGGGGGGAGGGGGGGATGCAACGTCATTTGACTCTGATTGGCGACGAACCCTGCCGTCCGCCGTGCGCTATCCGCCGTGCCATCTTCCCCGCAAGTGTCAGTCCGTCCTCCGTGCTGGGTGCGGTACCGACCGGTCCCCGGCGACCTCGTGACATTGACCCATGGTCGGCCCGTGGCACAAGTAACGCCGGAGATTAACTGCTGAGTGTGAGACACGCCTAAGAAACCCCGAATTCTTCCGCCGAGCCGAGTGCTAGCGGTGCCTTGTCGACGGAAGGGCGCAATGGACATGGGCATATATAAGCACTAACAATTCTTCATTGATTGCTTTGAACATGGGAGGCTGTTCGAACACTCAACGAGACGCCGCCGTACCGAACCGTTTTCTTACCACACCATGGCCACAACGACAACGACGGCTTCCGCCATGGCCTCGGCCTCAACCTCCGGTATTGAGCTCCGTCCCCTCCCGGCCCAAAATACCCTAAAACAATACCCCATTCCGTCAACCCAGCCAGCAGCGGATGACGACGACCCCATCCTCCGTGCCTCGCGCGAGGCCGACACTGCCGTGCCCGAGGGCGGTTACGGCTGGGTCGTCGTGACGGGCTGCTTCGTCATCGCTTGGTGGATTATCGGCACCACCTACTCGTGGGGCGTCATCCAGAGTGCCCTCATCGAAGATGGCCTCGGGACCCCCGCCGTGCTCTCCTTTGTAGGCTCCCTCGCCACCGTCTTGATCTCGGCCTTGGCCATTGTCAACTCGCGCGTCATGAGACGGATCGGCCCGCGCAACACGGGGTTGGTGGGCATCACGCTGTTGGGCGTCAGTGAGCTTCTCAGCAGTTTTGCAGTGACCAACGTCGGTGCTTTGTTCGCGACGAGCGGCATTATTACGGGCTTGGGCACAAGGTGAGTCCAGCCCACCATGACTTCGTGACGTGGCTTCCCTGCACTAACTGGTCATATAGTTTGTGTTTCTCAGTGAGTGTCGACCGTTGACCGCATGCTTCTTTTTTTCCCGGTACGAAAACCACTGACAAACCAAGGTTGTCACCGTGATGCCAGCACAATACTTTAGCCGCAAGCGTGGCCTGGCGAACGGCATCGTGTTCGCCGGCGGCGGTTTCGGCGGCGCAGTAAACAGCTTTGCCTTGGACGCTCTCCTCAACCGACTGGGCCCGGCATGGGCGTACCGTGTTCTCGCCCTGGTCACCTTGGCCACAGGGCTTCCGGCCGCTTGGCTTATCAAAGAGCGTGTTCCTGTTCGGGGCTCCGGCTTCGTTGAATGGTAGGCCCTCACAGCTATCTCGCGCCTTCCCTCCGCTCCACAAGTGCAGCAACTCACCAGTCCACAGGCGTCTCTTCAAATCCTTCACTTTTCTCATCGTCTTCCTCGCTGGCGCGGTCGGCACATTCCCCCTCTTCGTCCCGCCCTTCTTCCTCCCTTTGTACTCCAAGTCCATCGGTTTCTCCTCATCGACGGGCGCAGGCCTGCTTGCGGCCTTCAACTTCTCCTCAGCCGTTGGGCGCATCTGTTGCGGCACCCTTTGCGATGCTTTTGGTGCACTCAACGTCCTGTTGGCTTCGCTAGCGTTGTCGGCCATTAGCATGTTGGCCATCTGGCCTGCGTCGACGACGCTGAGCCCCATGATCGTTTTCGTTGTGGTCAACGGTATCTCCAATGGCGGTTTCTTCTCAACCATGCCCACGGTGGTAGGGAACGTGTTCGGATCTGCGAGGGTGTCGGTTGCGATGAGCATGATCGTTACCGGCTGGGCAGGAGGATATCTCATGGTGAGTCCCGTTTTGCCCCGACGAAGGCCAGGGAAGCTAATGGGGTCGTCAAGGGTGCACCGATTGCTGGTTACCTCCTGGAGGCATACGGGGGCGCGGATAACGGTCTCCAAGCGTACCGTCCTGCCATGTTCTATGCTGGGTCATTGTCATTGGCGGCATCGGGGCTTGTCGCTCTGGTTAGGTTCCGGCTAAACCATAGCATTTGGGCGAGGGTTTGAAATGCGCGGCAATGGCGAAAACAAAGAGCAGCGGCGGGCCATGACACGACATACCGTTGCACAATGGCAGCCAGGGACCCGAGTATTGCAACTTGCGGCCCCAATAAACAAGACATGTCCTTTCGAAGGATTCCCGTAAAAACCAGAGCCCGAGGATTGAAACCGAGTCTGGCCGAGGGGTGATCAGGGGCATGGTCCTATGATCCTTCTTAGATTCAGAATCCGATGGACATTTGCGAATTGGCTAGCTTCATTCGCTACCTCCCTGCATGATCCCCCATATTGCAGAATGTATCAGGCGGCTGCTGCTTGCTTATCAACTCGAAGAAGGCACATTCCAAGCAAACCAAAAAGGCCAAAACGGAGCTGCATGCGTCAATCCTTGTTCGCAGCCCCCAATGCACGTGTTGTCGCGCCTCTTTCGCGCCTTCTTCCCCTCCCTGACGGAACTTCCCACTACTGCTGACCGACGCGATATCAAATACCCCGCGAACCCCCTCTCTCTTTGATCCGTTTCTTCCGAATATCTGACAAGATCACCAGGGGAGCCGACTTCAAGTCCAATTCCAGCAATCTGCCAGCCATCCTCGTAGGCCAGCTGGTTCCTCCCCCCAAAAAAGACAGAAATCAAAGAAGAAAATAAGACCAGTCAGGAGGCGCCCCAGCATCCCACCGCCAAACATGTCCATCGACCACGTCGGCCTCTTTGTCCCCGCCTCCATCTACAAGGAGACGGTCGACTGGTACCTCACCGTCCTGGCCCCAGTCGGCTTCCAAAAGTTCGTCGAGCCCAACGAGTACGCATGCGGCCTCGGTGTCCACCGCCCCGACTTCTGGATCGCTTCCCACAACGCTGACAAGGCCAACATTCCGCTTCACTTGGGCTTCAAGGCCGAGAGTAAGTTTTCATACTCTTCTTTTTTTCCCTTTCCTTTTCACCCATTTTCTCTTCCCTTCTCTCACTCCTTCTGCCCAGAAGCGGCCTGAACAGACGTGATGCCTGCTGACACGACGGGGGTGGCGACCGCAGACCGCAAAGCTGTCGACGAGTTCCACAAGGCCGCCATGGCCGCCGGAGCCAAGGACAACGGGGCGCCGGGGCTGCGGCCACAGTACCACCCCAACTACTACGGGGCCTTTGTCATCGACCCCTCGGGAAACAACATCGAGGTGGTCTGCCACATGCCCGAGGTTACGGAGTAACGGCGGACGTGAGGGATTGTGCCGACGTCATTCGCCTTTTGCCTGGCCGGGTGGGGCGTCAGGGTCCGAGCTGGGCGAGATAAACAGGGGAGCTACCGGGGATTGGGAATCACGGGAGAATGAGCAAGACACGACATGTCTATGATCCATCATTCGAGGGCCTGTGGGGGAATCCCACGAAACTCTGCGTTCTGAACACCATATACAAAAGCCCCCCCTCTCGCAACACCAAGCGAATGAACGATTAAAAAGCTATATCGAGTACACGGTTCCCTTCGTTGTGAGTCCCATGTGCGTCGCCCAGCCAGGGCCAATGTGGGGAGGGGGTTCCGCATAGCAGCGGAAAGCCGCCCTCGGCGTCCCATCCCCTCCCCCCGGTCCATCCCGTCAGTCAATGGCACCGGCAAGTTACCTACCACTGTGACGGATGCAAGTTGGCGCCCACCCCACTGATGCAATGTTGGGGGCCGAAAAATGCACTGCAATTTAAACCTCCCCGAGAGCTTCACAACGTCATACCGTGGAGGAGGCATCGGATCTCAGCGTCCCAGGGACGGAAACGGATCTTCATTCTCTTGTCAATCCGTCCATCATCACCACGCCGCCGCTCCCATCACTTTCATACAAACGACCAACGCGCCAGCAGATTGAAATCGCGCACTCGGGACATATCATTATGCTCGCCATCTATGTCAATCTCGGAACACCGAACGCCTCGTCCCAATCATGCATGCGCAACAAAGTCTAGAACGTAACGCGACGTGTAAGTGTAACCTGATCCAGACCCGGCCCGCGTCAATATACCTGCGCTCCCCTCTCTTCACTCTTGTGGATAAGTCGTCCCGTACATGCGCGCAAAAGCCATAACCGCAGCGGACTCGGCACATGGATAAAGTCGCCCTCCCACACGCCGAACCCGCCGCGTATTGCACCGCTATATTTCCCATAGGTAAAACTCTCTCTCTGTCTCTCCCCCTCTCTCTGCAATCGACCCGACACTTCTATCCGGGTATCAATTCTCATGAAAAATCATGCAGCTACTCGTCCTTCGGTCAAACAAAGCTCGTCTAACGCAGTCCTGCATCGCAATCGATCAAAGACAGGCCCGCGTCATCCGTAATAGATGAAAACACTAGATCGAAACTGTGGCACCTTGCCGCTCGAAAGTTGACCGACGTTCTTACAATCCCGGGCGCAACGCGCGACCAGCGTGTTCGAATCGTTGCTGCTCGAAGCCAGAATCGAAAGCTCCAGCAGGCCATCCCCAAGACTTGGTGTATATCAGGGTATCAATCTCGTAATATTGCAAATAAGAAAGTGCCTTAGGAATCGCCGCCGGCTGTAGGACGTGACCTTTGAGCCACCACCTCTCGTGCATAGAACTCCACCAGCATGGTACCGTATGCCTCAAGGTCCTCAACAGGGACTGCAAGCCGGAAATCGTTCAATAGGAGAAACTGGAGCTCGAGATGGTTCAGTTCCGCCAATGGGAGTCCGCCAACCTAAAGTTACCATGTCAATGACGATTGCTCCTAAAAAAAAAAAAAAAAAGGCCTGGTCGACAAACCTTAGCATATCTGGAGTTGGTGTAGAAGACGTCCGAGAAGAATTTGCTCGCACATGTCACTCCCGCAATAACCAGTCGGTGGATGTTGAAGCTATCGACCACAAAGTACGTCGCCGGGGCGCCCGGAGTAGTTGGCTGGGGCGCGATGCTTCCGGTACTCTCACTCGGCTTTGTACTCTTCTCGTCCATGTCGTCGTCGTCGGCAAGGTCCTCGTCGTCGTCGTCGTCGTCCTCGTCTCGCATGTGGACGTCGGCCGGCTGCGACTTGGGTGTTGGCTGTGAAATCGAACTTCTCCGTGCCTCCTCATGCTTGACGACCATTTCGTTGACGCGTTCCGTCATGCGGTCAAAGTATACCAGCAAGCTCAGGAAGACCTCGTACGTGGTGGGGCAGTACTTGTGAATGCGGGACAGGTAGCTGAGAATGGTGATGGCGGGAATGTTCTTGCCGTGGAATGCCAGCACCGAGGTGCTCAAAGGGCTCATCTGCGAACCGTTGCCCGACTCGTTGTTCTGGTTTGCTTGTTGCTGGTGCGCGACATTACGCTGCATGGCGTCATGTTGCAAGTCATTGGTAGTTGTGATCTTAGTGAGCAACGCAGCAACCATCTCAATGATGTCGCCAATGGGCATGGCACTGATCTCGTACTTCATCGCTTGCAGAGGCGGATCGTTGAGTATGCCGGGTCCGTTACCCGATAAAAGGTCTGCCTTGGCAAGACTTTGAATATGGGCCAGATCGCGTATATGGATAGTTTGGCCTTGAGGTTGCTGGCGAGGAGACGAGCTGTCGGAAAGGGTGTATGAGGCCGGGGCATCGGCTGCGCCGTTGCCGTCGGACGCGGGCGACGGTTGCTGCTGCTGATGGGGCAGCGCCGAGGCGGCCTTCTCTGTAGCCAACGTGGCAGCAGCATGGCCGGCGTCGCGAGAGTCGGTCGCCATGTATGCGGGGCTATCGGCATGCTGAGGCCTCGCTCGGGTGGGCGATGAGGAGGACGGGGGCGAAGGGAAGCGAGACGCTCCTCCACTAGGTGGTGCGTGCTTCTCGGCGGCGGAGTCCCAGTCGGGCCGCTTCTGGCGCGTAGGTGGAGTACTGGTAGAATGCTGGTATCTTGGGCTCGTGGAGTGATGAGCGGCGGGCACGTCTCTCGATCGACTGGCGGATCGACAATGGGAATCGTGCGAGTGCTGGTGCGAAATGCCGGAGGAGGCAATCATAGTGTGGAAACGGGAGGGATCAGAGACGAAGTCACCGATTACAGCTGCCATAGCATCGTTTTATTCTCCAACGGAATGGGACGGTATTACGATTAGAAAGATTGCAAGCGGCAACTGCGAAGAGCGAAAGCCGAGTTAGCAGATGTTCAATCCGAGTGTCGCAATGTGGTGGTAGAAGGAAGGAAGGCGGGCGGTAGGTGTGAAATGGGAACAGGGGAGGACGACAGCGAGCTGGACTTGTCTGTCTAACTGGGCTGCTTGTGTGATGCCAGACTCTTCGGGCAAAAGTGATGGCCCGAGCCAGGGCCATATCTGCGGTTGAGGGTCGGATCTCATTGTTGAGAAGCGCACGGGGGGGCCGACTGTAGTGACAAGCAGCCGAGCAAAAGCAAGGCACCAGCAAGTAGGGAGGTAGACTACCCATCAGGTAAAGCTGGTGCCTGACGATGCGGTTCGGTCCCAGGAAGAGAGCTGGCTAGCACATTGGCCACCAGGCGCCAGGACAGCCGACGTCACAGATGCGTGTCTCGAGATGGCCAGGACGGATGCAGGTAATAGGCACATGTTTGGGGATGGTGATGAGAGCAGATAAGAGAAGACGAGAGGCAGGAATGGGCACAAATGCACCAAACAGCACTATCAACTCACCTAAGCGGACCAACAGGTAAATGGATGAAGTCACTTATCGACACAGTGATAAATGTTGTTGGCGGGCGAAGCAGTGGGAGTTGCGACGCAATGGTGCAGCAACAGTGTTTCGGGAATATGTGTAGTGGGAGGAGCAGCTCGGGGGTGATGCAAACAAGCAGCAGGGTGTCGAGTGTGACGTCGTAGGCAGGCAGGCAGATTAGGTCGGTGTTGGAGTCGAGACCAAAGCCGGAAGGGTGATGGAGGCGGAGTGAACACACGCGGGGCCAAGCAAGGACGGAAGGGAGAGGTCGAGGGGGCGGCGATGGTTGTATGAAGGAGAAAGAGAAGGAGGCGGGCGGAAAGATGGGGGCGATAAGTCGGTCAAGATGGCGTCCGACTCAGCAACTGGAAAACTGTTTCTGTTCCGTTTCGCAGGGCGTCTGCGATTAAGAGTACCGAACCGGAATGTGTACGGATGATGGCACTGAGTATCAGGACAGAAGATGAAAATGAGAAACAGCAGAAAGACGACGCAGAAAGAAGCCCCCTCGTGGGAAGTATCAAGTGTGGAGGAAGACGAGACCGGGCCAGAACAGAAAAAGCAGACTGGGGTGGGAGGAAGAGTCGGTGGGGGGGGG